GGGTTTGAACCACCAGCCTTCTGGTTAGCAGTCAAGTGCCTTAGGCACTACGCTACCAGAGCTCCTACATGAAGCCAACAACCTTAAAATGTACCTAAGTGGACATCCCACCCAATAATGTCATTTTACAAATATAAAAACTTTAAAGCAAAAGGGGAAGTGACTTCCCTATAATCACAGAAAGAGTTTATGAAAGATCCTAAACTGGAAAAGGATAGAATTAAGGTAGGGACATGAGGACAGAGGACAATGCCATATACAAAATCAAGTGTCTTTCTATACTCTAGCAATGAATGATCTGAAAATAAAATTAAGGAAATAATTCCATTCACAATAGCATCAAAAAGAAAATACTTAGGAATAAATTTAACAAAAAAAATACAAAACTCAAGCACTAAAAACTATAAAACATTATTGAAGAAATTAGAGAAAGTCTAAATAAATGGAAAGACATCCCATCTTCATGGGTCAAAAGACTTAATATTGTAAAGATGGCAATACTCCCCAAATTGATTTACAGATTCAGTGCAATTTGTAAGCTTGCTGTTTTGTAGAAATTGACAAGCTGATCCTAAAATTCATATGAAAATGCAGGCGATCCAGAATAGCCAAAACAATCTTTAAAAAGAAGAAAGTAGACGGACTACACTTCTCAATTTAAAAACTTACTATATATAGAGCTATAGTAATCAAGATAGTATGATACTGGGATAGGATAGACATATGGATCATGGAATAGAATTGAGAGTCCAGAAATAAACTCTATCATTTACATCCAATTCATTTTTGACAGAGGTGCCAATATAGTTAAATAGGGAAAGAATGATCCTGGGACAACTGGACATCCATATGCAAAAAAATGAAGTTGTACTCCATCCTTACAGCATACAAAAAAAAAAAAAATTGAAAATGGTCAAGACCTGAACTTAAGAACTAAAAGTACATAGCTCTTGGGGAGGGGGAGAATCTAGAAGTAAATCTTCATGACTGTAGATTAAGCAAAGGTACCTTAGATACAACATCAAATGCATAGATGGCAGAGAAAAGATAGATTGGACTTCATTGGACAAAATCTTCCATGCTGCAAATGATACTATCAATAAAGTGAAAAGATGACCCATATACTGGGAGAAAATATTTGTCAATCAAACATCTGATAAGAAACTTGTATTCAGAATATATAAATAACAACTACAGCTCAATAATAAAAAGATAAATAAACCTAATTTAAAAGTAGGCCAAGGAATCACAGTCTCAGGGGACACAAAGGTCAACTGGCATAACATAGTTCACAAATAAGGAGCTCTGATGGCGTAGTGCCTGAGGCATTTGACTGCTAAGCAGAAGGATGGGTGGTTCAAACCCCCAGCCATCCCACGGAAGGAAGACTGGTCAATCTACTTCTGTAAAAATTTACTTCCTCAGAAACCCAA